CACACACATACATATCTACATATATATATATATATATATATATATATATTATTGGTATATTTATTTTTATAATTCAAAATATTAGTCCTTTCAGGGTAATTAAATTATACAGTAAAGCACAAACACTCACTACAGACAAGCACACTGATGCACACACACTCTCCCTACAGACAAGCCCATTGACACACACATGCTCCCTACAGAAGAGCTCACTAACACACAGATTCACTACAGACAAGCTCACTGACACACATATGGTCACTACAGACAGCTCATGATCCCACACATGCTTACTACAGACAAGCTCACTGCACACACATGATCACCATAGACAGGCTCAGATACACCCATGCTCCCTACAGACAAGCTCACTAACACATATACAAGCTCACTCACTAGCAGGCACACACACAAACTCAAACTCACTAGCAGGCGCACACACACAGAAGCTCACTCACTCACTAGCTGATGCACACACACAAAGACATCCACACACACAGAGGCAGACAGTCACAAACACAGAGGCAGGCATCCACACACACAGAGGCGGACATCCACACACACAGAGGCAGACAGCCACACACACAGAGACAGGAAGACAGCCACACACAGACAGCCACACACACACACACACAGTCAGAGAGTCACACACACACATACATACACAGTCACACACACACAGAGGCAGACAATCAAACACACAGGCAGACAGCCACACACTCACACACACACACACAGTCACACACACAGGCAGACAGTCACACACACACACAGTCACACACACAGGCAGACAGTCACACACACACACACACACAGTCACACACACAGGCAGACAGACAGTCACACACACACACACACACACACACACAGTCACACACACACAGAGGCAGACAGTCAAACACACAGGCAGACAGCCACACACTCACACACACACACACACACACACACACAGGCACACAGTCATTCACACACAGGCAAACAGTCACACTCACAGGGTGACAGTCACACACACACAGGCAGACAGTCACACACACACAGGCAGACAGACAATCACACACACAGACAGACAGTCACACACTCACAGGCAGACAGTCACACACACACACACACAGGCAGATAGTCACACACAGGCAGACAGTCACACACTCACAGGCAGACAGTCACACACACAGGCAGACAGTCACACAATCACAAGCAGACAGTCATACACACACGGGTAGTTACACACATCACACGGACTCGTTCCTGCTTCCCATGCTGCAGTTACCAGGGCCCCTGCCGCACAGTAAGCTCTGCCCCTGTCGCCCTGTCACACGCTAAGCTCCGCCCCTACCGCAATATATATTTTTTGTTTGTGTGTTGTTGTGTTTTTAAATCCCGGCTGGTCATGTGTGAGCTGTGTCGGCCCCCTTCTCCCATGGGGCCCTGTGCGGCCGCACAGCTCACACATGGCTGGCCGGGATTGCAGGACCCTAACCAGTGATGAATACGGCTGTCAGCCCAACCCCCGGTGCCGCGGTCCACCGGGAAATTTCCCGGTATCCCGGTGGGCCAGTCTGGTCCTGAGAGCATCTGAAGCCTGCGGATGGCTTCAGATGCTCTTCCCTACACTGCCAGGTGCCACATGCAGAAAACCCGGAAGTAATCACTCCAGTGGGGGAGTGAGGGGGCGATCACTTGGTCCTCGGGAGTGTAGGGGGGGTATTACACGATGCCTCGATATTGATGCATCGTGTAATACCATAAGAGGAGCTGGAAGTGATCAAATTTACCGCGGACGTATTGTTTTTTGTAGGACATACCTGATACGTCCGTGGTCCTTAAGGGGTTAAACTCATTATTCCTTCTACTCATTGCCCTGTCATGGTTTCCCTTTGCTGGTTATTCGAGAGTGTGTTCCTGATCGTATTATTCTGTTTTTTGACTTTGGCTTCATTTTGTCTTCCCTGATTTCTGGTATCCTTGACTTTTGGCTTTCCCTCATCGTTGTGTCTCATTCTGCATCCCTGACCTCGGCAAGTATTGTGACTATTCTTAGGTTTGTTAAGTCCAGCCATTCTAAGGTCTGGTTAGATGTTATCCTTAGTCCTAGGTGTGATACTATTTCTGCATGCTGGATCAACTAGTAATCCTGACACCAAGCTTTTACTGACATAGAAAGCCTCTCTGACCCTGCCACAATATATATATATATATATATATATATATATATATACTTTCCAAACAAACAGCACTTCTGGGACTTTCAAATTCATATATAACTTCTAGTTTAATTGTATGTAACTTGTCTTGAACTAAGTTAGGTTAGTCTAACTGAAATCCTAACAATAAACAAGAAGTTACATATAAAAAACTGAAATGAGTGGAAAAATAGGTGCTGAACAATGAACAAATAAATGAATAATACTGTGTATGTCTATGTAAAACAAAATGGTATTTATTTATTTATAAAATATTTTACCAGGAAGGAAAACATATTTTATGACGAAATAAATAAATAAAATAAACGTATTAAACGTATGGGTACAAACCCTCTGATTAAAACACTTAAAAGTGACACTATTGCATCTGTTGTGTGTGGTGGATCCCTAAATAAGGCTGCCAGTCCGAAATTATGCCACATACACGAGCTGGGGGATATTCTTCAGTGTATTTTTTTCTTTCTTTGCTTGGTATTGGTAGCAAGCGTCTACGTTAAATTAGCTGTAAATTGGCCCCAGAAGCTACCTTTTAATGTATTAATTTATAGGTGAATGCAGCCATCCTGTTTACATATGTATATATATTTGAGATTCAGGGCCAACTCCTATGATTTTGCACCCCTCCCTTTCACAGGTGCCTCATTCCAGAACCTTTTATCAAGTTGTTTGATAAAGCCCTTTATTGCTGGTGAAACGCGTTTTGGACTATTTTTGTTCTGTTTTTAACCTATTTTCAATAAAATAAATAGTTAAAAATTTGGACCAGTTAGTTTATTTTATTATGTAATTTAGTTTACCTATTTTTTTAACCTACATCTGCTCCTGGCATACCCTAAAGCACAACAAATTGGAACTTCTATCATCTAATCCTCATTGGTGGTTATATCAGGGACTGTCAAAATAGAGTAATTTTACTGCTCCAAAATTTGTAAGTAAAACTCCATTTATTTTTATATGCATTTACATATAGGGAGCACTATAAACAACTCTGTGTGTCTTCACTGTGTTCTAAACAGCATGACACTAAATTATTAAATTCAAGACTCAAGTGGTTTCAAATCTTAGGTATTTCGATCTCTTTACATACAACAATCTTCAACCTCAAAAAAATACTATAATTTTACTGGAGTTTGGACAACATGACATGTTGTTAAACACCCTTTGCAGGAAAGAGGAAACATCACCAGATGCATAGCAGGACAAATATTTGTAGGCATTTTAATGTATTGTGGCATTGAAATTTGTTGGTACATATCAACACCTCAAATAATTAAAGCCTCTTTTCCATCTCCTACTGAAAGATGGCATTACAAGAATGAGGGCATATAAAAAGAGGCTGTTTTATTACACTCCAAATTACGTCTGCCCTTCAACTCTTACTTTAAATCATGACAAAAATGCTATGGGACAGCAGATATTTTACATGTCTGGATCCTTCCTGTGCTCCTTTCATGATAATTCTGTACAGTCCTGACTTGGTATAAAACTGTAGCTTGTGAGAAATTTGTTAGGGCAATATGGAAAATCAGTGTTATGCTGTCTAACTCGATTCTTTTACCAGGGTATCTATGGAGTGACATTGTATGTTGTATAGATAGAAAAATTTTCTTCGTAATAAATCTACATACAAATAATTAAATTATCCAATTGAATAGACAATTACTGCCCTCCCTTTAAAGTAAACATACCGAGTATTAGACAGGTTTTTCGGCACTTTTTTTCTGAAAACCCCCCACTCGTCTTATACTCGAGTCAGTGTCTGTATTATGGCAACTTACATTGCCATAATACAGTCAAGGACCGCCGGGCTCATTACAAGCCCGGTGGTCCTGTTGGGGGCTGGCAGTGAGCTGTAACTTACCTTTCCTGCAGCTCCTGTCAGCTCCCACTGTAAGTCTCGCGAGAACAGCAGGGTCAGAACGTTGCCACGGGTTACCGTGGCAACACTCCGTGCGGCACTCAGACCGCGAGACTTACAGTGGAGGAGAAGGGATCTGACCGGAACGGAGGTGAAGAGAGCTGACAGGAGCTGCAGGAAGGGTAAGTAACAGCTCGCTGCCAGCCCCCCTGCTACACAGCCCATGCCACTAGACCACCAGGAAACGAGAGCCCCCCTCCCTGGCCATGTATCAAGCAAGTAGCGGGGGACAAAAAAATATAAATACATATTTTAAATAATAATATAATAAAAAATTTTTATAATATTAAAATAAAATAAAAATAATAATATTTAAAAAAACACAAAATTTAATATTAAAATAATAATAATTTTAAAAAAATGCCCACCCCCAAGGTTACACATTCTGCATCACACACACATACAGACTGCATTCATACACACACACACTGCATTCATATACACACACACACTACACACACTGCATTCATACACACACACACTGCATTCATACACACACACACACACACTGCATTCATACACACTGCATTCATACACACACACTCTGCATTATATACACACACACACACTGCATTCATTATATACACAAAATAAATATTCAATTAATGTAATTTTTGGGGATCTAATTTTATTTAGAAATTTACCAGTAGCTGCTGCATTTCCCACCCTAGTCTTATACTCGAGTCAATAAGTTTTCCCAGTTTTTTGGGGTAAAATTAGGGGTCTCGACTTATATTCGGGTCGACTTATAGTATATACGGTATCTGATTAATTGAATCGTATTAAAAGATGGCAGTAGGTAAAGTACATTATTGATTGTGAGATCATAGTAGTTGTAACTGTTAATAAATTAAGTGGACAGCGCTAAGAATTATTATAATAAAATCATACATACAAAGGTAGAAGCAGATTTTGCAATTAAGTTTCTTACTCTTAAAAAAGGAAATAAAAGTATTTCCTTTTCTTTTCCTTCCTTTGTAAGAGTAAGAAACTTAATTGTGAAATCTGCTGCTACCTTTGTATGTATGATTTTATTATAATAATTCTTAGCGCTGTCCACCTAATTTACTAGCTTGTTTTGTTCTATTGTTCACAAGGTAAAAGGAACTGCTTTTTAGCTGCTTTATTGGATAGAGAGCACTTATCACGTTTTTCACTAACTAGTAGTAACTGTTGCAGCCATGCACATGATTATCTGTTCTGTATGTTTATTGATCATTTCTCTCAATATTCCAAATTAGAAAGGAGGGCACTTTAATTTTAGGGGTGTGAATAGGGGTGTGGTCAGGGGTGGGGCTGTTCTGTGAAGTTTTAGGTGACTTATTAATAACGATTTATGCAAATACAATTTAATTTGGAACAAGAACAATGTATCATATTTACACAGACTGCTTTCTAAATGCATATATTGCAGTTTAACCCCTTAAGGACACATGACATGTGTGACATGTCATGATTCCCTTTTATTCCAGAAGTTTGGTCCTTAAGGGGTTAAAGACATTAATGGGAGTATTATTTCTGTGGATCTCTGTTATTCACTCAGACACACCAACATTATGGAGCTCCTAGAAAAGAGGGACAGTGGGATTTGAGTAAAAAACAAGGACAGTCCATCCTAAACAGGGACAATTAGGTGGTCTGACTAATTCATCCAGTCCTCAACATTTTGACACTAAAATGTCTCTTTATCCAGCTTGATGACTGAATAAATCACCATTACACAATTGAATGCTGTATGCTAGAGTTTCAATACTTTTCTTTTATTATTTTGGATTCTGTAGAACAAGGATTTGAACCATTGGCACAGGTACCAAATATATTGAGTTCTTCAATTGTGCATTTATTAGAATTAATTTGTCTATTACCATAGCTGACTACCAAGATTAGCAGAATATTAAAAGAGGATATACTTCAGGATCACCATGGAGTGGGTAAACGATAACCTTTCTTTCTAATAAATGCCTGGTAATTTATTTTAATAACTATACAAAAGATTATTTTTCATTAAAAAACTTTTATTTTATTTTTTGATATTTAAAATAATTTATAGCACTCCAAAGTATGGGAGATTTCCACCATTTACATTCTATGTTTATTGCAGTTATTGCTATCATGTATTTGTTATTTCTAAGATAAGCAATACCTTTTAGTCCACCATTTTCCCTAGTGTCCCATGCGCCATTGGTTTCCGTTGGAACTATCTCTGAGGAAAAATGAATCCCAGTTGTTTGGAAGCAAAGACTTTAATTAGCATTGGCAATATTGTTGTTTTTTTTTTATCATAATGAATCGCAGAAGGAATAATACGTTTTGATAATGTCTGATTAACTGCATTTAGTTCTTATTTTTCTTATCATGTAAATAAAGTATTTTAGAATAGGAAGAAATGAAGACAACGTGATGCATTTTCATTATTAGCATAAACAACTTACTGACCATATTATGCCTCTACCTGGAAAATAAGGAAGGGAAAGCATGACTGAGGCCCAGGCTTGGAGGTGGGTGGTCCCCAGATAGATACATAGTTGCAAATAGGGACCAAGGGATTGAAAAGGGGGAAGGAATGAGGGGCCTTATCAGTCAGCGCAGATAAGTTGAGGAATCCAGACTTTCCCACCCTCTCTCGCTGTGATAGATTTGATTGTGTTCTGTTTCTGGTGTCGTTGTCTTGTGTTTTGTTTTGTCACAGCTTGCGGTTCATTCTGGCCAGCGCTATAGGGGATGAAAACAACAAGGCAGCTTGAGGAGTCGCAGCCTGGCGGGAGCTGATGGTGGGAGGCAGGCTGCTCTGGAATCTTGGAGAACAGTGTAGAGCCGTCTGTTTGTGAACACCCCAACAGCTGACAGAGGATTATGCTGGCATGATGTTTATGGTTAAATAAAGCTGTTGCCGTTGCCCTTACCCAACTTATTCCGGTCTGATGTGTCTTATTTGGGGCAACGGGGGAATAAAGTTAGATGGGTCATCAGTCATGCTCTACACTGTGCACAAGGCTCTTTAAATCAACATGGCTAAATGATTGCACTCAGCCATGGTGATCCTGAGTCTGTGCCTATGAGGAGGGATATTGTGGTGAGGTCTCCCGGCATGCCTCTCTGTCCTGTGATTGGTGCTGGGCTTCGTCAGATGCCCAGCACTGATCACAGTGTCAGGAGCTGCAGCGTAAGAGGGAAATCTCCTCCTTATGCTGAAATGACACAGTACAAAGTGTTCATAGAGCACTCTTTACTATGTTAGCCGAGAAATCCCTCAGTACTGATGTAAGTAGAAGGACATCCCCCTCCAATGTCACAGAGCCCCAATAACTGCCCATAGTTGTGCATTCAGGGAGTCTGCCTGGGCTGTCAGGCAGTCCCCCTAACTTTGCAACACTAAAAAAGTTTAATGATGCACACAAGACCAATATAAGTATCGAAGAAGAGCATTTATTTAAAAAAATTCGGCCACTTTGCAACATCAATGTTTCATCCCAATCTGGACTTCATCATGAATTACAATTTGAGTTACCTGCCTTACAACCCAGGTAGAAAGTCCAGATAATTTAATTTGCAAGTACTATATTTAACCTCATAACTTTCCAAAACACCATAAAACCTGTATAAATAAATAAAAAATAAAACATGAGAGGTCCTGTTATATACAGTCTTGCCTGTACATGGGGAGTACTTTGCTGAACACAAATGTGAGTGTTTTAAAACAGTAAAACATATCACAATGATGATATCAACAGTGAAAATGCAGTTTTTGTGTAAAAAATGCAAAAAACAATATGAACATTAACTTTGACTAGGGTTTGTGACTAAGTGGCTACTAAAAAAGAAAGGACATTCCTCATTTGGTATACTTTCTAAAATGGTATGCCATGATGGTGGTAATTCTCATTCTTAGGCTGCCATACAGTATCAAAGGCAACTTAACCAATCTGGCAAATTTCAATGTGCAAAAACGGAAATGGGCAAGTCTTATATTTGATTGTCATTTTCCAAAACACCATAAAACCTGGACATTGATGGTACTCTTGTACTCGTGAGACATTACTGAGCACAGTAATGTGTTTTGAAGCAATAAAACATATCATGCTAATTATATCATAGGTGAAAGTGCAGTTTATTTGTGCAATATGCAAAATAATATGAATGCTAACTTTGGCCACTGTTTGTGACTAAGTGGCTACTAAGACTGGACATACCTCATTTTGAATACCTTGGGTTATCTACTTTTGAAAATGGTATGCCGTGATGGGGTACATTTTTATTCCTGCGTGACCATACGGTCTCAAAGGTAACATAACCAATCTGACAAATTCCAATGTGTAAAAGCTGAAAAAGGGGAAAGCTCTATATTTGACCCTATCGCTTTCAAAAACCTCATAAAACCTTCACAGGGGAGGTACTGTTGAACTCATGAGACATCGCTGAACAAAAACATGTATATTTTATTGCAGTAAAAACTAACAGTAGAATAGACATATAGTCAAACTGTAGGGTTTGTTTTGATTTTGATCAGAATGTGTACAATTACCTCTGTCCTTAAGTTGTTAAAACCACTGACAGATCAAGTAAATAAAGTGAAGTGAAATTATTATATCATTACAATGGCACATGTCAAGGGGTGGAATATACTGGGCAGCAAGT